CGTTAACAAGCACAGTAGTTCGTGTGAGACGACTCTTGTGTTATCTTCAGATGCTTATGGACTGCTCACTTTTCCTTATAAGACCTCATCGAGCCATCGTTGTCTTCGATCATTGTGGATTGACGAAGAGACTTTGACTCAGGAGACTGGTTCTTCCCCTGAGGTGCGACCCTCAACCGTTTTAGCAGTGACTGCTCCGGTATCTCCCTATTCAGACCTAACTGCTGTGGGTAACATGACTCGTGAAGATGTCATTATTCATCTCCAGGAGGCTCTGCAAGATCGAGAGTTTTGTAAATCTACCTTACTTTTTCGTGGGGTTAGTTTACTCTCTATACTTCTTGCGCTTGGTGTTCATCCAGTGCACAATGGTGAGAAAATCTCTGCAGGAGTACGCGCGCTCTGTGAAGGAGATCGTGCATCCTTTCAATGGGATATTAATCATAAACTACTTTTCTTCCGAGATGTTAAGCTCAGCCCTTCATGGTATATTTATGCCTGTACTCCCCGTTCACAGCATTGGATCCTATACAGGTTTCACTTTTCTCCTCTACTCGGTTGCCACCGGTCTGTGGCCCGGTGTGTGTCAGCGGCCTTATCTGATGGTTGGTATTTCTTACGTATGCCGAGCATCCTCAAGAAGTGGATCCGTTCCTGTAAGGAATGTCAGCTTACCAGAACGGGTGGACTTAATCCTGTTCAACCTTCTCTTTTCCGCCGAGGTGCTGGCCGTTTCTCCGAGGTTCAACTTGACTTCCTTGGACCTATCTCTGACTCGTCTGACCACTCAGAACCTAATAACTGTACCTATCTGACTATACTCGTGGATAGTGCTACTCAGATGTGTATGGGTTGTCCTGCCCAATCGACTTCCACTTCATCTGTCATCTCAGCTGTGCTTCAATGGTGTGCTATTTTTGGACCCCCTTCTGTGCTACAACTTGATAGCCCTCCTGCGCATAGCTCTGACAAGCTATCCCGGTTCCTAACGGTTCTGGGTATCGAACGATCCCTTGGTGTTTCTCGTCGTCCTCAATGCCAAGGTCGTGTGGAAAACGTCATCAAAGAGATCAAACTAGCCATGTCTACTAACTCCATCTTATCTCCGGGTCGTCTTCCATGGTGGGTTATCGCACAATCGGTTATTTCGGTCCACAACAGCAGCAAGATAGCACTATATGGTTTCAGTCCCTCTGAGTTGGCCTTTGGCATTGCTGATCCTTTTCTCCCTTCAGCAGCTCTACTTGACCCGCAGTCTGATGCGGAAGCTTCCTCTATCGATCAGTTTAATGATTCTTGGTCAGAGTTTCGTAATCAAGTTGTCGATAATTTCTATATTACTAGAGCCATCGCTGATGATGTAGCTCATAAGCTTGAAATGGTTCAACTGGCTCACGAAGTGCCCTTGTACACTTTTTCGCCTGGAGATCAGGTTCGGCTCTGTCGACTGGAGAACAACCACAGAGTCTTACGCGGGCCTTTCACTGTTACAGACTTGCATCCTTCTAACCCCTATCTCTATCGTCTTTCAGATTGGCCGGGATGGGTAAGTCTTGGTCAACTACTGCCCTTTCGTCAAGATTCATCCCTTGATGATTTCACCAACGCTGTTCATCATCATGAAGCCTATACCTCCGGTATTTTCTCTCTCTCCTTGCCTGACGACGTGAAGATTGAGTTACATGATGCCGAGCCCGGCAACTTCGTGATAATAGCTGAGGATGATACAACTGGTCCTGAACCTACCAGAACTCTCCGTATTGGTGAGATTGACCAGAAGCTTCCTGATGGTTTCAAGATCATTATGTTGAACAAATCTGCCCGTGGCTCCTGGACTCTACCACCAACTCGTGATCGTGTTTCCTTCACATGGGATGTCAATTTTGCTGATGTTATCGGTGTCTTCCGCCCTACACGGACACGACGACTGCCCCCATCTCTTCTCTCTTGGTTGAAGACACATGGAGCTTTGTGATGGTCTCACTCACACATCGATGTCTAGATGCTGTCTGGGGGGCGTGCACACGATATCTCGTGAATAGTCGACACATCTATCCATCTCTCTCTGTCCCCTTGTGCCAGTGTTACCAGCGCTGGCCCTGTTGATCGATATCCTAAGCTCTGCTTAGCTTCTATGTGACATAGTCTAGCGTTGCCTATGGCAACTTGCCATACTACTCGATAACTACCTAATCATTTCCCTATGACTGAGACAAGTGTTACTTCAAGTGGGGGTGAGGGAGGCAAGACGGACAAAGA